TATATATATATATATATATGTTTCATTTTATTTCCAAAGTTTAAAAGATTACGAGAATTTTTTTTACTCGTAAGAAGTTCAAAAATATTGGAGTTACTCCAACCTTTTCACACAGATACTCGTTTCACATTCTATCTCTAAAATCACTCTCTAAAAGTGAGGCCACTCATACACCAGAGCATCCTTAGATTTGCAACATTTAATTTTATGAATCTCGTTTCATTTTATTTCCAAAGTTTAAAAGATTACGAGAATTTTTTTTACTCGTAAGAAGTTCAAAAATATTGGAGTTACTCCAACCTTTTCACACAGATACTCGTTTCACATTCTATCTCTAAAATCACTCTCTAAAAGTGAGGCCACTCATACACCAGAGCATCCTTAGATTTGCAACATTTAATTTTATGAATCTCTTTCCATGACCTACACTTAACTTAGGAAGCTACAGCAGGAAAAAAAATGATACATAAAAAAATGGGATCAGATGTTCCGTTGAATCTCTAGTAAAGCAGCAGTTAAATTAAATGTAACAGGTTTGAAGACTTTAACAAAATTGCTTTATCTACTGAATTCTCGAAGTTGATAAGGTTGTTCAAACAAAGATCCAGTAAGAATCACCTCATAAGCTGGTAATTTCTGCGTGGAGTTCTAATCAATCAAAGCAGAAGATCAGGTTGCATGAGTTGTTTGTTCTTTAAACTTACAACATTGCATATATTCACTATGATATATGGTGGATCATCAGTAATAGCAGATGAAAATATATGTCAAATATGCAGTCAGGAGTCCAGATCTGCTGAGAAATTCAGAGCATGGCAATTCAAATCCCTCAAATTTAGCTGAAAGAAATTAAGACAAAGACCTCATCACGTCATGAAATCAAGGAAAAAGAAGACAAATAGTTTAAGAAAACTAGGTGGCAATTAATTAAGGTCTTCAAAAAGAAGAAAGGAAGCAAAACTAATCTTTTTGCAAGTAAATGAATGCATTTGACAGTAACAAAACATAGGAAGGATTACCATGACTGTGTTTAGTTTTTGAAGGAATTGAGGGGAATGTAAACTCATTTTAATTCATATTTTAATATGTGATGTTTAGGGTTAATGTAATTCTTGCGTAATTGATTTATCCAGGAAATGTTGAAACGTGTGTGTGTGTGTATATATATATATATTCATTGAAAATTCCCTATACAGATCTGATAAAAATGAAAGAAAACCTTATCAGATCATCATTGTAGCATACAAGAAAAAACATAAAAGTTCTCCTTCATTAAAAAAAAAATCACTCGATTCCTCAATCAAACAAATAGGTGAAAACTAATTTCAACTAAATTCATTTTCCATTTTCATTTGCTTTTCATTTCTTATCTTTCAATTTCTTCAAACCAAAAAGAGTCCATATGTTATCAAATACCCCAAACCGCTGATATATATAAATACTTGGGCTCATTTGGTTGTTTGAAATTAGAAAATATGTTTTAAAAATTGATGAATTCATCGAATTGCTTCATTTGGTAATTTTTATTGGACGTAGTTAGAAATCAATATGAATTTGAAACTCTACAAACACCTTCAAGCTGCCAAGCTGGTGAACTTAACATTCCGATCAGACACTATGATTTTGAGCAATACATGTAATCTGACAACTTCCTCAAAATAAATCTTTGCAACTCGAGAAGCATCAAAAGTCTTGAAACAAGGAAGGAAAAAATGAGTCATTTTAGAAAACCTATCGACTACCACGCAAATGGAATCATGTTTCCTAAAAGTCTTTGGTAGTCCAAGGACAAAATCCATACTTATGTCCTGTCAAGGGCAATTAGGTATGGAGAGAGGGGTGTAGAGTCATGTTTTTTGCTTACATTGTTTAGCAAGCTCAAGTGAAGATTTCAATTTCACACTTAAATTAAGTGAAAACAAAATCATCATATTTAAAATATATTTTCCATCAACATGCAACCAAATGAGCCCTTAAAAAGCTTAGTATTATTTGCAGTTTCCAATATCTGTTTCCTTAATCATCACAAGTTACACAGTAGCATCCTTAAGCTTTTAGAAGTTACTAGAATAAAAAGGAGAGTAAGTTTGGCACTTAAAATTGTGTAAACTACAGGACTACGTACTAAAACTCACCATAACAGCAACTCCAGACTCGCTAAATCTGGGAATGCAGACGAGCCTCACCTGTTGTTCCTCAGGTCCTACAAAAAAAAGCAAAGGTAGATTAAAGTGAAAGTTTACGAAATCATGCGAACAAATTAAGACCTGAGAGTCAAAAATACCATGTAACAAAACTGTTTCATATTTGTCCTGATTTCCGACAAAGTATACATTTGGACAGTTCTCAATGAAGAAAGGATCCTTCTCAGTAAAGGGATAGCAACCTGAGTGGGTAAAAGAGAACACTCAAAAGAAAGAAGAAAGAACGAAACAACAAAAGAAAAAGAAAAAAAAAAAGGAATCCTTGAAATGGACTCGAGCTAATTTCTAATAGTTGCACTTCAAGTTACTTGAACTAGGGAAATTTTGGTTTTTAATTTTTCATGCTTATTCAATAAGTTAAAAATATAGTTTTATTTGAAGCCAGAATTAGACAACTGAACAAATGAAAGTATCGTTCTACTTAAGCTCTACTTGAGCTGCTCTAATCACATGAGTATAAACATTTACAACTAGGAAACACCGCATTCAATAATAAATAGCAGCTAAGCATACCAAGGGTGTTAGGGGCAGTAGGAGCCAGATGCCTCCATCGCAACGTCCTCTCAACAAATTCAAGTTTAGTCTGGGCACTCGAATACTTATCAAGATCATCAATGTTCTGACCAGATGTTCCAAGGAACCTAATTTTTTTCATATTCATAAATGAGAAACTCCAAAACTGTTAAACCCAAATAAAATAGGCATGGAACTTACTGAAAACCATCAAGTTCAAATTGATGAGGATTTGTGCACGAGAAGAATGTATTATAAGAGGATGCTCCAGGAAAGAGACATCTATGCAGTGGCTGGAGAAAGTAAAGATGCAACTAAATAAGAAATAGACATCAGGGTAAACTGAAGCATTTTAGTATATACACTTGGTCTAAAGCGGTTAGAAAATAATGAAAACAGTTCAATCATTAAAAAGATTAGCAAAATATCATATAAACCTAATAAATGCAAGTTGAAATGTGGCACACAAACAAAACAAAACAAAAACATCACAGATAAAATGAATATGTATCATCAACCGACAAGTATGGTAGCCGCAAGCATGCTCATGCAAGATAGTAAAGTCAGTCAAATTCACGCCTATGCGCATAAAAGTGAACGAGCAGACCCAGAGTACTAGAGCTACTTATAGGCAGGACATTTAATGTATCTTATGGGCAACTGATCAGGAATCAAATGGTGATACCCTCAGATGATGCCTTGAAACTATAGATGCTGACTTGCATGCAGTGAAAGAGCAAAATATTCCAAAGATTAGCAGCACATATTCGTGACATACAGATACACCGCATGCAGAATCAACCTACATGCACAAGCACACCAACATCTACATGCACATTTTAATCAACCAACGAAACAATGTAGGAGGTGAATACCTGCTGTGGTAAAAAGGAATTTGCAGGGTCCGTAGGACCTGGCATAATATCCAAAGGCACAGCTGCTGCAAGCTGCCTCACAAAGAAGCAAAATGAAAACAAAATTTGGGAGTGATAGAAAGATGGAAAATAGGTAGAAGGGCACATTCAAATCTCATCTAAGAGCTTTAGAAGTGAAGAAAAGCGGTCATCAAACCTGCGTTAATAAGATATCAACCTCCTTAATTGGCTCAGTTAGCTTTCTCTGATCCTCAGGAGTTAATGCCTAAGTGTCCCAAAATCATTCAAATATTACATCTTTCAGATGCTAGCAAGAGCAGTAAATGTTAATAAAAATCTCATTTAGTCTAACAAAACTTGATTAGTATCACCTTAAGTATACATTTGTTAATTTTTTCTATTATACCTGTCCATTAAGAACACTATGCGGAATTATAACGGAGTTTCCAGCAATTACTACACGAACAATTTGAGAAGTCATTTTTTGTTCCTGTCCAATTGTTCCTAGGTGAGAACCATGTAGCATTACAACCTAGAAAACAACTTGGTACTAAACACAGTACATACATTATCACCACCCAAATGCCCAGTAACATGGTCAACAAAAAGCTGGAATTGTAGTGGATTAAAAATATTGCTTCCAACATTTAATCCTGAAACAAAAACAACATACTTGTCTTCTCCTGCAGAGCAATTGAAGCATTGTCATCAGACAGCATATACAAATCCAAAAACTAGCTTATTTTGAAATAGACCCACATTACTACTTGCAGCAACAGCGCTACCAAATAAAGCTAAAAATATATGTTGTTGTTTAGAGTACAATTCCCACATGGACAAGGAAATAATGCATGTAAGTGCATCAACTTCCATATTATATATATATATGCATAAATGATAATTTACAATAATTTAAATGCAATAAAAAATAAATGTGCGTAAGAATTTGTACATGCTTTCATGCAGCAAATACTTTTCGATCAGATCTTAAGCTTACTCGATTCGATTCAAACTTAATACATGTTCAATTCATGCTAGGCTTGGCTTGTTAGTCAGCTCATCCACTTTGATCCAAGTTTGATTTGAGCCAAAGAATGATCTAACTTTTACATAAAGCTACTCAATGAATATCATAAAATACAACAACAACAACATCAAATCTTTATCTCACTACATGATATCAGCTACATTAATCCTTTTTCTCCATTATGCCCTGTTAAAAGTCAAAATCTCATTTAAATATAATAAAAAAAGATTATTTCTAATATTTTTTAACCATGTTTTTTTTAGGTCTACCTATACCTTTCTTAATATAAGTCAAATATAATATATATATTCTCCTAACCGGGTCATCAGAAGGCCGATATTTTATGTAACTAAATCATCTAAGGTCACTCTCTCTAATCTTATCTGCCACTGGAGCTAATCCAACCTTTTCACGTATATACTAATTTCACATTCTGTCTCTAAAAGTGAAGCCACTCATCCACCTAAGCATCCTCATCTCCGCAACACTAAACTTAAATTTATGCTTCTCTTTTAATAGTCAACATTTTGCATCATAAAGCATTGCATGTCTTATAGAATGTTGACATATGTAACAAAGCAAAAATGAAAGAAAATTAAAAAATATATATAGGCATGCTCATTACCTGTTGCTGCCCATACCCTTATCCTGCTCGAATCATGCCAAAAATGTGCTACAATCATGTCCCGCCATCGCTACAGTATCCCAACTCTGCGATTTGGCACCGAGATGTCCGGTCTCTCGCATGCGAAAAGTTGTTCGATCTAGTCATTAAATAAGGCAGTGAACATGACTTTCGTTCCTTCCCTTTCTCACACTACTAAAGCTCCCAGCTCATAAAAGCTCGCGACTTCAACCTCTTGTCTTCTGATCTTCCCCTCCAAACCTCCGACTCTAACCTAATTGAAGTCGAAATCCTAGACCTCAACTCGTCGCCTTCTGCCCATACGACAGCAGCAAACGACCCGACTCTATCCAATCGAATCTGACCTCCTGCTCTAGCCGCGAGCCTCCAGCCTTCAACCTCAAGCCTCCGGCATCCGGCATATAGTAGCAACATGGGTTTGGGTATTTGAAAAGGTTGATATTTAAAATTTAAAATTTTACCATTTTGCACGTAAAGCGGATGGTGGGGAATGGATGATGGACCTGATCAAGATCCCATGGTTCCATCGTCCCGGGCCATCGTTATCCCTGGTTTACTTAGTCAGAGGAAGTAGTCGACCCCAACCTAACAGAAGGATCCTTGTCGGCAACCATGGGTTGTGTCGTCCAAGGGTACCTTGTAGACCTAGGGTGAGTATTTGTATAAAATGACAAATTTAAATCCACCTTAACTAACAGAGGGCTTTGTGCCCTATCGATTATATTCTATTGATTCATATCTCAAAGATTTGATGTCATTGGGGAGCAAACAGGCTCTGGCCATGACCGTAATTTAGTGGTGTCATTTGACAGCAAACCACTTGTTCAGAGGACTCCGATCATAGCCGTTTACCTGCGGTGCCATTTGATGGTGAAACCGTAGGTGTGGTGTCATTTGACAGTGAAACCACAGGTTAGAAGACACGTGCCACATCCTTACTGGCAAAAGACAAATTGAGAATGGATCCTAGTGATATTCTTGACTAGGCATTAGCTCTTCGTGAGCTAGAGTAGTTTTTTTATTTGTCTACCTCGGCAAACTGTTTTGGAGGATGAATGCATGTTTGCTTTAAGTGAATGATGATTTAATTTTAATTTTAAATATCTTTGACTTTGGTATTTTTTATTTTTTATGGATTTTATGGGTGTTTGGGGGCATTTTGAATGGTTGTGATATATTTTTGGAAGCCTTGATACTTCTGAGGAGATGGTAGAATGAGATATTTTCTCTCTCTTCTCCCTTATTTTTTTTTAAGTGCTCAGTCTTTGACTCTACATAATTATCAATAGAACCATTCAACTTCATGCAGTTGATGTCATAATTGGGGCCTTCCGCTGAAAGCAGATTAACGGGCTTCTTACAACAGCTTGCAGGTACTTATGGCTACCAAAAGTCCTTCGTACTTTTGTAGAAGTGATAAGATGAAACACCTTTTCAACTGATCATTATTTGATTCTACATAATCATTCAATTCTTCGTTCTTCTCGCTATAGTCGAGTCTTTCTTTGATGAAGTATCAATTGGTTTCCTTCATACATCGGGTCACCTTCATATCCGACTATTAGACTCTTTGAAGTCATTAAATAGAGGACTTTTAATTACACTAGGTCAACAAAGTTCTCAGCCTCGACGAGGTAATGTACCTTCTACACTTGTACGGGACATATCATGCTTGCAGCTTCTCAATCACCACTGGTGTAGGTGTTCGTGGGGGGAAGAATCAGTGTATCCACTTGATTGCTGGATGATTGTTGACCGCAAGGAGGATCTAAAATCTGTTCCACATTGCTTGTCATCATCTGTAGATGGGCTATTGTGTGCAACATATATCCTATAGTTGTTTGCAGGTATTATGTATATGTGTGTCCACAAGGGATTCATTGTACTCGTAGCATCTCAATCATCGTTGTAGTAGGTGTTGTATGTACTTTGTGTCCATAAGGGATTCATCGTACTTGCAATATGCCTGCTGTAGGAGAGCCATTGTGCTTGCATCATATCTGCCTTCATGATTTATAAGTGGTTTTGGTGTACTTGTTCGCAGCAACGAATTGTACATAAGTTATTGATGTTGACTTCAAGACATTGTTGCACTCAATGCTTGTTTCCTTGAAGTGATTTGTTGTATGCATGATAAGTTTTCATCGTTACTTGTAAACGTTGTCATTTCAATCTACCGGCGGATTATTATTTGCATAACAAGTCTTTTGATTGTTGCAAGCGAATGATACTGGGGCTTTAGTAACTGGTTTTTTTTTCTTTTTTTTTTTTAATTTTTTTAAGGCTTTAGTAACTGGTTGATGTTGGTTGTAAGTACAATATATTCAATTGCATTAGGACTATTGTAGGAGTCCATTGCATTCATCAGCATCACTCATTATGTTCCTTGTCTTATGCATTCGAAGGTTCTAATGATTGTTATTCATTTGTAATTGTTGTAAACTGATCATCATTCACTGTCTATATGTATCAAGGTCATGTTCATCACAAGTCTCTTGCTATTGATTTGATGTTTGTTTGAATGATTTGCATTGTTACCTTGCATTTGTATTTTGAATTAATTGTGCATTTTAGTTTTAATCATGCATTTTAAAATTTAGGGTTCTGTTCCTAGTAGCTTTGTTCAAGTCCCCTGTTATACAAGTCTCTTGTGCATTTATTCAGGTTCTATGGATCCATGTTCAGGTACAGGTCCTCTGTATTGCTGCTCAAGTTAGATCTTTTTATTATTCAGGTCTTGTGCACTTCAGTCTGAATTTCGACAGCATCCCGACATATCCCTCGTTTGGGGGAAATGTAGGGAACTGGGCCTTCCCACCATGCTACAAGAGCATGTATAGTAGGTGTCCTTAGACACTACGGTCGTAGTCTTCAATCACACCATGCTACAAGAGCGTGTATGACAGGTGTCTTTAGACATTACGGCCGTAGTCTTCAATCCCACAATGCTACAAGAGAGTGTATGGGATCTTTGAGGTACCACCTGTCTGTTTAGTTTAGATCTGGTTTCCAACAATTCATTTAAATTCCCTGTACATTTGATATTTTCTGTCTTTTTTTTTGCTCATTTACAGGCCCTCTGTGTGCTGTAAATTTCAACAGCACCCCAACATATCTCCCGTTTGGGAGAAATATAGAGGAGTTGGACCTTCCCACCACGCTACAAGAGCCTGTATGGTAGGTGTCCTGAGACACCATGACTATAGTCTTCAATCTCACCACGCCACAAGAGCGTGTATGGGGTAGGGGTGTCAATTCGGGTCAACGGATCGGGTTCTGGTTGAACCCGAAACTGACCCAGCACGGTTTGGCTCAACCAGAACCCGACCCGTTTTAAAAAACGGGTCAGGTTTCTGGACCCGAACTCGACCCGATTCCGGGCCAGGTCAACCCGACCCGATACGAATGACCCGAAGTTGACCTAAAATTGCTAGTTTTCAGGTCAAAATGGGTCAATCTCGGGTTTTCGAGTCAAATAGGAGTTTTTGTGTCAATTTCGGGTCATTTTTGGGTTGCTGGGTCAACCCGAACCAGACCCGATTTTTAAAAGGGGTTAATTTATTGAACCCGAACCCAACCCGTTTTGGGTCCGGGTTGACCCTAACCCGGATTTTTTCGGGTCGGGTTCGGGTCGTGTTTTGGGTCCTGTCAAAAATTGACACCCCTAGTATGAGGTCTCCAAGACACATGTTAAAAAAATGCACATTTTTCTTTCCTCGCAGGCATTGAGGTGCACACAAGTACTTTAGGTTGTCCAAATCATGCTACAAGAGCGTGTATAAGGCCTACCCGCCTCATCGTATGTGTCGCATCAGATTCCCCCTACCGTGCTACAAGAGCGCATATAAGTCCACCGGCGCATCACACGCATCGAGGACGGGATTTGGAACATTATACCTACGCAGAAGTCGTCAGCGACTGTGTCGGCTCGTAAATCGAGGCAAGAGAAGTTTTTTTTCAACTTTTTTTCTTTTTTTTCTTTTTCCTTTTCATTAATTATAATCAATCATAATTAACAATAGTTAATTATAATTAATAATTCTTAAAAAATTAATTATAATTAATTATTTAATTATAATTAATCTATTAATTAAAATTAAGTATAATTAATAATAATTAAATATAATTAATAATGATCAACTATAATTAATAATAATTAATGATATTTAACTAGGAAAGTTAACTTCACAACAAGCAAGCTCCTGTTGCTACCTCTGATCTGACCGGAAGGGAACGTCGTCGAAGAGGTGAAGTCGATCAGCAACGAAGGAGCGAAGCACGGAAAAGCAAAGAGACCGAGTGCCTCATTCCTACAACCATTTAAAGATGCGAAGTTGAGATCGTGTGAGGCTAGATCGTAGTGGTCTCGACATGCGAGCGGGATTCGGGGCGACGTGCGTTGTTCAGGTATGAAGCTTTTTTTTTTGTTTCATTTGCCACGACATTCGAGTCAACACTTATACATATATCTTTCACTCTCCTTAGTATCTAATCCATTATATAAATCATTAAAATTTTTTTTTTTTTTTGCATTGCAAATTGCTTTCTTAAACTCCTTACAAGCCCCTCTATATCTTTTCTAATTTTTCAAGCTTTACATCTAAATCAATTTTTATCTTGTCTTGCATATTTTGATTCCACCATCAATTATTTTTACTATTATAAGTTTTTCATTTTGAAACTCCAAACACATCATTTGCAACGTTCTTAATATAACTTGCTACTTTTTTCCACATAAAATTAGCTTTCTCGTGGAATATTATAAAATACTGGCGGGAAAAAAACAAACATCTAGGGGAAATTTTTTAAGCATTGTGATCATATTAAGTGAATTTATCAATAAGCCAACATTACTTAGAATTTGATAGTGCTAATACTGAGATAGAGCTAAAATATTTATTTGATGATGGAAAGAAAATAAGCAAGGCACTCATAAGGCTAGGTGCTAAAATTCTGCCAAGTAAATGGAAGAAAATATAAATTTAAAGCATCAAAAAATGCTTTGACTGTAATTAAATCAATAAAAAAATACATAGGAACGCTTATATTCTTAGTTAAGAATAGCAGTTTGATTATAATATGTGGACATAAATAGCATGCAATGAAAGAAAGAATGACTCCTACCTAAGCGTGGAAGCTTAGTTTGTGGGGGAAAGCCAGCTTCCAAAAGATCTTGAACCAAAAAATCACCCTCAATTGTTTTCATTCCATGAAGAGCTAGACCAATTCCTATTTAAAAAGAAAAAAAAAAACATGAACAAAGGATAGGAACATCATTGGTGTGAGTTCCAATATTAAACATGGATTAAAGCATATCTGAAAGATTACACGTCATTGTTAAAAAAATAGCATATCTAAACCTGTCACAAAATCTGTAGGGTTAAGCAAACTTCCTCTCAGTTTAACTCTTCCTATCTCATCTTCCAAGATAAGTTGATCATCTGGATGCAAAAAGTTATGAGGTTTGACAAGTGGAACCGCAGTCCTCTGCACGCACAATATTTACGCACCATGAAACTCAATCTCATAAGAGTTTATCGGCTATCATAATGCAGAAATTTTGCAGGATCAGCATTGAACCTCCTTAGAGTATTCATCTAGTATACAAGGCTTGAGCTTCATGTGCTTGTAGATAGTTCCAACTATAACACATTCTCTGCTTTCCTCAAGTCCAAGAACTGTAATAACTGAATCAATGCGAAATATAAATAAATAAATAAAACATTCAAATGAAGCCTATCCATATTCTTTCATTGCATAAGTGAAGCAGTGAAGAAATATTTGAAGAGAAAGGTCATCCATAAACAAATTCCAGCCGAGACTCCTTGGATGAGCCCTAGCTTACCGGAAGTGTATGAGACACAAAGACGCCAAACCAAATCACCCTTCATAGAAATTGGTCGACAACATGAATAAAATGGTTCTAATAATAATAATAATAATAATGCAAGGATTTGTCAAATAAAATGTACACATCAAGTAATTTCTACCTAGCTTTACAACAGAAAGCTCATCACAATTAGTGGTTCCAGGTTGAAGAATGTATGCATAGAAGACTAGAACTATAGAGAAAAAAGCCCTGAAATTCTGGGATTTTATTACAAAATCTCAAACAACGCTTATGATTCCTATAAATGATATTTGTCTTATTGTATAATTCACATGTTAACAAATATTCAATGTCTAATAAATGATAGAGAAAAGATCAAAATGATCACTGGGCTATTATGGGAGTTTATCTTAATCCCAAACTATTAGATGTGTCTAATTTAATCTTGACTCCTCAAATTTGAATCAAATAATCCAATAGAGGAACTATTTTGAATCATATATACATAGTGAAAGGAATAAATCGTACATTTTAGATAAATGGCATTAAAATGACCACATAAAAATAGTCCAAAAACTATTTTGACCATTTTCTAATAAATGATATAATACAACAGCCTCACCTAGGCTTTAAAACCTCACAAGAGGCAAGAAAAATAATGAAGATTTTGATGCATTAGCAAAGGAAATATTAGAATAGAAAAATTTTCTATATTTGGAGAGTGGTGTATGATTTTATGTGTACCCTAAGCCATTGTAATCATTCTCCTTTATATGTAGGTGGGATCTCCAATGAATAAGATAAGAAACACTAATCTTCTCCTCTTAGTATCAGAGCCAGTTCCAATGCTAGGCATGTAGGTTATGAACCTACCACACTTTTTAAGCCCTATTTACGAAAGTATTTAACCATTGCAAGTCTAAGATTACCTAACTATGATATTATAGTTGAATTTGCTTATAATAAAAAGGGCTACATCTTTCTCAGAGAAAATATGCTACTAATCTTCCTGAAGAGATTAGTCCTCTAGGTTACAAACATATTGCTATCCCTATAGATAATCAAATCACTGACTTGGACATTTCTTCTTTGTTGGAGTTGTAAGCCAACACATGCAAACACCAAAACATAAACTTTGGGAGGTTATATGCATTATCAAATGTATCCAAAAAAACTCCTAAAAAGGTTTACTCGATACAAAGACTATTTCTAGAATTGGCCTTACAACAACATCATCAAGCCTTTATCCCACTAAGTGGGGTAGAAATTGGACTTATTAAAAAAATACGCAAACACTTTTTTTAAAAATGAAAAAAATAGTCTTAAAAAATAAATAAGAACATATGACAAATTAAATGATTTAATATTTTAACACAAATGAGATTCAATATTAATAATTAAAATTTTAAATATCATGTGTTGCATCAAGTCCCCTTGGCTAGAAAAAACCTTTACACCAAAAAGTTAAGATGTTGGAGAAATAAATGAAAATCGGTGAGTATATTGCAAAGCTAGCAAAAGCCCATCCAAAAGAAGAAATACAAATAAGAAGTTCAACCTAAAAATGATACTACGAATGGGAAATCTATCCCTAAGAGATGCATGAGAAGAACATCACTATCCCCTTCATCAATCCTCAAGAATATGACTATGGCTCTCAACCGATATATTTGAAAGTTGCAAATTTTCATGTGCATGGCTAAAGTATTCAGAATTCGACTCACCGTTAGCTTGAAAACTCTCCTCACCCTAGCAGTTATTACAACATGTTGCATTTCTAGACCATTATTGATGGTCTCCTAACTGACTTTTCGAATCTCAAACAATAATCTCCCTGTGGTGCTTCCTTGTTAAAACTCTCCAAGAGTTCCTCCTCCTGAATAACTTGAATATTCTTAGTAGCAATGAGATAACCTCAAAGGAATGAGGGCTCTTGGAACTTGGGCAAGCCAGAAAGATCGAGAAGTGGTGAATTCTCTCAAATATCCCCAACTTGAGCTTGATTCATATAGTAATTCAATTTAGAGAATCACAACAAACTCGAACTGTAGGATCGAGCAATTGTAATTCCTTCAATATTGACTTGTACTTTTAAAAAGAAATATAATAAAATACTAAGTGTTTGTCTCTCAACATTCTTTGTTAGGCTTTGTTTGCATTTGCTAGTAAGTTCTTAATGCCACCTATAGCTAGTTTAAAATCCACCATCTTTGGATGTGCTGTTGTGTTTTCATATTTTCACATTCAGTCTCACCCAACTTCTCATTCTTTTGATGATTTTGTTGGATCTAAATTTATCTGTGGGCAAAAATAGAACCTTCTATAACTTACAAAGCTAACATAACAAGAAGTATAGAGAAAAGAAATTTAGAGTGAAGCTTTGGGATTTCACTAGGTTGGCATAAGTATAAAACTAAGTCTCAATGACTGTGTCCCAAAATCTCCTCTTGAGTCTTGATCCTCTATTTATAGGTTTGAGCCATGATTTTGGCATTACGGAAAATGCTACTTGAGAAATAATAAAATATATTAGAGTATATGGGGCATGCAGCCAAAAAATATGACAATTGACTAAATTTATCACTACATGAAGTTGCCATCTTGACATTTTGAGGCTTCGTTTGGGACGGCTACAGCTATCGGTAAAGCAGGTTGTGAAGTTGTTGCTCATAAAGTTGCTTTTTAAAATTGCTGTACAGAAATCAGTAAATTTTGTTTGGGTAATATAACTGCTGAGTTATTGTACTGCTGTTGTATGACAACAAATTACCTTGATACCCTTTTATATATTGAGATAAAATAAATATAATAATCAACTAACATTTCTATATTAAAATTAAATAATTTTATCAAATCTTTTAAAAGTTTATATATCAAAATACTATAAAAGATTATACACAAATATGTAAGAGGCTGAGCCAAATGACTGTGATTATCTCAGGAAACAAAATTCCTAGTGCCGAGCAATCTGCTTGATGGGTGAAGGCCATTCCTCAAGATGCCAAGGCTTCTCTGCTTTGAGAACAAAGAAGAAGATGCGGAGATGAGAGGAGGGCTCACGTCTCCTTTACTCGATTCCACTCACCGACGACCATATAGGTTCCGGCTCCGTGGAATGGTGCAGCCGCCTCTCCGCCCACTACCCTAGCCGAATTCACCCTCTCCTCTGCCGGCGGGAACGACTTCTACGACGTGAGTCTTGTGGATGGTTATAACCTCCCGGTCGTAGTTGCGAGCAGCGGCGGGGTAGGCAGCTGCGAGATAACTGGATGTGCCGTGGATTTGAATCTGATGTGTCCGATGGAGCTGAGGGTGGGGGAAGGAGAAGCTTGCCGCAGCGGCGCAGCGCCTGCGAGGCATTTGGACAGCCGGAATACTACTGTAGTGATTTCACTGGAGGGGAGAATCGTAGATTGCAAAACTTTGCGAGGATGAAGACGGCCCTTTTCGCAGCGAGGTCATTTACGTATTCTTATCACATCCGAACCACGAAAAGCAGGAGAACGCAGGAGGCCTTCTCAGGACGCAAAAAGCAACGGCGGGACGCAAAATTTTTTAAAACGGAGCAGTAACTCAGCGCCCCAAACATACCTTCAGTTATGTCCTAAAAAGTAAAGCAGTGAAAACGTCCTCCCAAACCCGCCCTAAATTTGCTACTTGGTCGGGCGAAGTCCCTGACTTGCTTGGTGAAATGCAAGCAAAGAGCTTTGGCGACTAGGCTCTATGTTTGAGTGACTAAGCCTTGTTGAACTTTGGTCCAAGTATGCCCCTATCGAGTTCATTGTGAGCTTGACTAGTCATTGTGAGCCTAGCAGGTTCACCGCATTTGCCTTCCTTACTCGGCCGAGTTGCCTTGCATTAGGTCAGCCTGTGATTATTAGATGTATAGTTTCTAGTCGCAACTCGAAAAACACACATTCATTTTCTCTCGAGATAAGAAGAGGAACCAGGGGAGCCGGGTCAAGCACAAGTTTGAACTCATTTATTTTGTCAAAATGAAGCTCAAGCCTGGAGCAGCCCCTCCAAACTCAAGCAGTTTACATCCCCATCGATTGCTGATAAAATCCAGAGAACAGAAAAAATCTCCAAACTATGATTTACTTAAATAGATAACCTAAGCTATTATTGCCTGAGAAGCAAAGAGCGAAGAAAGAGAAGGCATCTACCTTCGAGGTGAGGCTTCCATTTGGTTACAAGAGAGTGGAGTAGATTCCTCAAGTGGTGAAGGCGAGCAAAATAGATCTGGCTGTACTGCTGCCCCTTATACCTTTGCCCATGGACCAGATATTTCTCATCCTGAGATTAATCACAGATGAACATGAAGGGATGATGAGCAAGTTGAAAAAGCGATCAATTCGCGCAGAGAAAAAGTTTCAGAAGAGAAAAAAAGGGTATATGTAGAAGTACTAGGGATTTGTAGATCGCTTGCTTCCTCTCGAAGAGCTTCATCTCTCCGTCCTCTATCGTTGCGCCGTCCATGGCGGGAAATTTTTTAGGAAGGGTTTGGATTTAGACCCGACTTCGCATCTTCGAGGGTGTACTGTGGAAAGCAGCTTTTATAATAATTATTAAAAAAAATAAATTCGATATCTATCCTTTTGAAAAAAAAAATTATAGTATTTTCAACTATTTTTACTGTAAATTATAACTGTTTCAAATGAATCATTCTTCAAAATGATTTGCCATAATTATATTAGTTGATCGATTTAATAGATATTAATATAATATTATTCTTCCAATCTTAAATTATTTTATTAATCAGATAACTATGAAAAAAGCATAGAACTCCAAATATTATCATTAGTTGTTAGGTGTTTTTCTATTGATTTATAGCATATTGATGAACATTTTAATTCTTTTAATTGAAGCAAACATGACATAAATTTTTTTGTGGCAAAATAAGAAATAGAGTTAATTGATCAAATTGTATGGTTCACCTTTCTCTTTAGGAGGTGAATTAAGTATTTTAAAAAAGTTAAATGAGTGTGTTAAAAGGGTTATTTTGGGCTCCTAGCAAATCTTAGAGAGAAAGATTTTTATATCTCATCATTCATGTATGACACATCATCTAAGAAAATATGCTTTTACTCCCTTGTGAGAATTATGGTTGATTGTTTGATATTAAGGCCTCTAGCATACTCTATGTGGTTCTATCGAGTTAGCAAGTTGACGAGTTCTCAGTCTTTGTCAAGTTAAGGACTCCATGATCCATGGCGAGTTGAGGAGTCTACAACTTTGGCAAGTTGGAGAGCTAAAGCAAGCTAGTCCTGCTATGAGGCCTTGAACCCAACCAGCTTGACTTTAATCAAACTTGTGGGGCATGTATGGGTGTATATTTAGTTCTCTAATTCTTTAGCATCTTTTGAAAGGCAACTATAAAAAGAACAAGATAATGAAAAATGTATATTTCCACTAAGTCAACGATTTGACCTGAATCAATCATTAATTAATGGGTTTTGAAAAAAAAGCTATAAATAACTTCCTATGCCTTCCTTAAATGTCATTCAATATGAATTTCTTCCTTCTTTATGTAGCTTTGCACACTCCATTTGTGAAGTTATTTATTGATTTGACTCATCGTCACTTAGAAAACATAACTCTTCTTCTGAGTTATTATTTATATGTAGCTCCATCAGATACGACTCATATATTGTTTTATCAGCAAACCCATTTTTCACTAATTTAATATTTTTGGGACATATTGCCACCTGATTCCTATCATGATATTTAAAAGGGGTTCTTTGGCATGCATTTGATGACATTGAGATAACTTGACATGTTTCTACATGGAGTGATTATTCATCTGCTTGTTCATCATCTTCCACTTTCAATTGATCTATTTAAAGCTCAGACATAAAATCTATAAGTGCTATAGGCTGTCTCAATGATTCCTTGCTTTACACGCTCTCCTACACTACGAAAAGTCTAAGACTTGTCATTTCCTCTCAACAATAATTTTGGTTGAGGTTTAGGATTGAAAACTTGCTTTCCTTTATCATCTTTAGAAGCGGATTATTTTTCTTTATCAATACTTAAAGATGATGTAGAATATATTTCATCTCTTCTAGTGTCTAGAGCTTTACTTCTTTTAAATTTATCTAAATAATTTTTAGAGTTTGGCAAATTTAGTTTTTCAAACTTTGTCATTCTATCCAACATCTCCTGAAATGTGGTGATTGAGGCCAAGCATAAAAATGATAACATCTTATCATCAAGATGTTATATTAACAATTGAATGGTGTGCTCCTCTTCCAATTGTTGTTGCACACCTCTTCCAATTATTGTTCACATTTCATACTTACATTACGACAATAAGTAATTTATTTTGTCACTAACTCACACTTTTTTCATTTTTATAAGGCAAGGTAAGTGATGATAATCTTTTCAATAACACCAGAGAATCTTTTTATGAACATATTTTTCAATTTTATAAATCTCTTAATATAATCATTGGAAAATTTAGTGTACCATTCAAAAACAATTGCAGTCAAACTACTAATAAATTGATGAAAGAGTAAAGCATCACCATCTCAAGTATTTCCAGATGTTGCTTTAAAATGAGCCAGGTGTTGCTTATTATTACCGTTGCCATAAAAAAATATTAAATTTTGGCACGAAGTAACCTTGTGAATATGGCACCTTGTTATACTTGAATGGGTATGGACAACCATTCCCTACTAGTTTCTCTGCATGTTATGAAGCAATTATAGCTTTAATCATTTCATTGATAATTAATTCTAATTGTATAATCATTACAGGCTCAGATGTACTTGTGACATTTTGGAGAGTATGCAAATGATCAACCACATTTCTTGCTTCATGTGTGATTCGTACTCTAGATACATGGGGCATTAGGTTAGTTGTCGGATTAGTAGGAGCGTAGATTGATGCTTGATGATCAACCTGGTTAAGTAGGTGCAAGATTAACAATGATGCTCTTTTACATCAACAACATCATCGCAGTCATTTGCGCCATCATTTTTATCATCTTTATATTTAGCTCTGATATATGCTTATCTTTTTCATTCATCTAGCATTTTATATGCATTTGTGTTTATGCTAATGTCATAATAAGTATTTATTCTTCTTGATCCTCATTTTTTTCATTACATGATGAGACTTCTTCTTCTAACTACTTATAATGTGCTTGCTCTTCTTGAGGGGTTATTATTTTGGAAGCGACAGTCCTTGCTTCATTGGTAGCCACATAATGGAGGCGGCTCATTGTCATGCCCTGCCATGTAGACTACCTCAACTTCCATGGTGTCTTCATCATCAACTTATTCTTATACTCGTATTTTTTAGTGATGCTTCCAATGTATTTCTGGTTTTACATTGAGGATAAAGATTTCTTTGATTGGAGGACTAAGGTTAAAATTGACCTTCTTCTAAGGGGATAAAATTTGTCGACAATAGGATTCCTTATAAGATTCTCCATGGTGTTAACCATTGTAAGTATTAGTAATATGAATCTTTTTTCTTGGGCACTTGTTGTTGACGATTTCTATTAGAGGTGAATTTTTGGGAGGTTGTACCAAATGTAATGTCCATACTGACTTTCTTCTCAAGTATGTTTATGAGGCCTCAACCTCCTTTTTTTTTTTTGCCCTTCCACCAAAATCTTTTGGCAAGGGATTTCTGGCTGAGTGGTCCAGATTTCATGCTCCAATGTTCACCATGTAGAGCTAATCCTGATTTATCTTGAGTTACCTTAGTAGATGGTAACTCTATTAGTGGGGTTTTCTTGGCCTTGATTGTCAATGGTCGTTGATACCTCTTTCTTTCATTGTCATTAGTACTCTTTGCACTCTAGCAGATAGAGTTTCAAGTTCTTTCTTATGAGGGACATGAGTTTACTGTTGTTGTTGTTGTCATAATGAATATTTCAATTTTCCATTAGAGGAATAATATTAGATTTGTAAACTTATTTTGGGTAGGAATGCTTATTTATGGCTCTAATGTTGATAGCATAGACGGATGCATGGGTAATGATTATTGAGCCCACAACTTTATATTCATCTTTTTCTTTTGCCTTATAATCTTCCTTTAAATGAGGAAGCTTCATGATCATACCTCCCTAATATGAAAGGCTTAGTTGGTAGTGTGATGACGCTCGATAAAATTAGTGAAGTCTTCTTCTTGACATCAATCATATTCATAGTTAAAACTTCAGGATATAAATGCCTCTCAAGACTGAGGTCCTATTTTGTTGAACTGCTTTAAAAATAGTAGCTCTAGCAGCTCGTGGTCATTGAATGAAAAAAATAAGTCGTGCATAACCTTCAGCAGAATTAGGACATCCAATATGGCCTTGAATAGTTAGGCTATGAATAAGTACAATTACAACTATTGTAGTAGCCACAGAAAACTTTAGACTACCATATCGAATGGTAGCTTCAAAGTCTCCAGTATTTATGACAATATTGGCTAGTTGAATACTAGTGCTACATCCCAGTTGGATGGAAATAAGAGTATTCTGTAGTTTCATTCAGTGCAAATGAAAGGTAAGAGTTACTAATCGAAAGTTGATACACTTCCAAAGTGCAAAGACTAAATAGAATAAAATAATATATATAATAAATTTTATCTGGTTGTATTATTTCAAAACCTTGATTTTAATAAATTTATAAGGATTATAACAATTTGTTGCTATTATAGTTTATTTATAACTAGCCAAAGATAGAAAGAAAAACCAATCCTTAGCGAAATCGCCAGAAAAATTTGTGGGCTCCAAAAATTTTGTTTCCCAGCCTCTATGCCTCATCACTTTCTTATGTATATTTATGTGATGCGGTGAGAGAATTAATAAGTTTAAGTTTTGGGGTAAATTTTTAGAAGGTAAATTGGATTTTAGATAAGTCGTTACCTAGAGATTTCTCCCTCATTTTGTGAGGACTTTATGATATGAGTTCTAGCTTCCTATAGTCATAAGCCCCTATAGTTAATTATCTCTCCCAATAATGAGAGAGAACTTTTACTTAAAGACTAGTTGTAAGATAGTTCTCATAGGTTGCAAACCCAGTGTATAATAGTAACAGCTTTAGGATTTAAATTTGGTCTTGTGATTTGAAACTTATCAATATAAACTTAAAATAGGTGATGGGAGGAATGAAGACGAGCCTGACTAAGATCCAATGGTTCCATAGTCCCGAGATGTCATTATCCTTGGTCCACTTAGTCAGAGGAGGTAGTCGACCCAACCTGAAAGAAGGTACCTTATTGACAACTATGGATTACTTCATCCAAGAATACCAAATAGACATGGGGTGATGTTTGTCTAAGGGGATATCTGAATCCACCTTAGCTGACAAAGGGTTTATGCTTATCAAATATATCCTATGATTTATTACTCATGGGTTTGATGTCGTTAGAGAACATACGAGCTTTGACACTGATTATAATATAATGATGCCATTTTATAACAAAACCATTCAACCTAAGGCATGTATCAAGACCCTGTTGGCATGATACTATTTGAGGATGAATCTTATTGATACACCTGATATGGCATTCATTCTTTGTGAATTGATA